AGAAAAAAAATCACAAAAACCTGGAAAATACCATACAGAACACTTAAAATAAAAGCAGAATTTGCATTTTTTTTCTTTTCTTTTTTTCCTTTTTTTTTCCTTGTTCCCCCCCCCCCCCCCTGCCCGGGGATATAGATAATTCAGTTTAACATTATATTAATGCTGCAATTCTAAAAAATGTCCAGGGATAACAAGTCATTAGGAGCAACCAACAATCCCAGAAGTCTCTACTTGCTAAAAATAAAATCCAGGGAGTGCTAATTTCATATTTTCCTTTTTCTTATATTTGTCCCCAAGTATCCAATGCTGGCAGCCCTCAGGTCTAATACAATATGGAAATTGATCAGAGGCTGACTTTGCCTATGTGCAGCTTTCTGCCATGGCCTTACTTCAAAAGTACTTTTATTTTCCTCCTTGTTCATTCTTCCCCATTGTTTTTGTCCTCTTTGTGAAAGAAAAGAGTAAAGAAAAGAAAAAAACAAAGCAAAAGGAGAGCATAAATACCTCCCCAAATGACCCTTCTCCAACAGACATTTCAACTTCCATTAAAAAATTAATTTTGCTCTGTGTTTTTTTATTTTCCTTTTTGGAAAACTCACTAATGGCAGAGTTATTGTAGTTCACTTTTTGTTCTATGAAAACTGAAAATTTTGAAATGCTTTGGTGAGAGAAGAGAAGGCTGTTGGCAGCTCCAGCCCTGCACACAGAGGTTTGAGCCAGGGAGAAGAGGCTCTGGTACTTCTCAAAGGTTCTTCCAAGGTTGGCCTCAGACCTCTTGGAGCTTTGGTGTCCCCCCCTGCAGCCCATCACCTCACCCAGCATGGGAAGTTTTGTACCTCAGGTAGCACCTACCTCCCATCCCCAGTCCCCCAAAAACGCAGTCCTTATATGCACCAGAGAAATCCCACCTTGCTGGTGTGTTCCAGAACCTTGGAATCATCCTTTGGGATATCTGGTTTTTGCTCTTGCAAAATAATGCCCAAAAAAATTATCTCCCAGCATTTCCCACATTTCAGTAGGTAGAAATCTGGAATTATTTCACATTCTGGCAAATGCAAAATGACTGCAAAAAATTATATCTAAAAACCTCTGAGTCTGGATAATCAGTGTGTCTGTAACCACCCTTGGAGTGTTGCATCATGCAGCTCCCTTGATCCACTGAAGGTTTTTTTCCTCTCACAATTCCTAGTCCAATGAAGATATTTTTGAGTGCAATTCACTGTTAATAAGGTTATTCCTTGCAGAGTCAGGAGCTCAGAGAAAAACCTTCTGACTGGACACTTGCCTCCTTTATTTGCCATTTATACCTCTCATGCTATAGAAATAAATGCCATAATAAATACCATAATAAATAGGGACTGGAAGTTATACCATATAGAGATGATCAAAGGGTTTATAATCTCATTGCTGTTCTTGGGTTTTTCTTTTTTTTTTTTTTTTTTTTTTTTAATTTTGTCTTAGGCACACAATTTCTTCAACCCAGACTGTAATTAATTTTACTACATCACCAGTTATCTCTGCTCCCTAACCAGGCTTGTCATTTTAATTTTTCACAGGCTTTCTTTTTCCTATCCATGTGCCTGTTCCTGTATCTTCGTGAAGTCTCATCAGCTCTGGCCCAAAGCCTTAGGCAAATTTGTCTGTAATGCACTCCTCTACTTCAGACATAAGAGGAAAAAACATCACCCCCACAAAATAGGGAGGAACAAAAAAGGCAGAAGAATAATTTTGACCATACATTGTCTAGCAATTCAGAAATCCTGGAGAGCTTGGTTAAAAGTAAGGCATCCTTTCTGCTGTATTCTTATTTATATCAGTAAAGAAACTCAGAGGTATTGCAGATGGGACTACAGGAAAAGGTTACCAGATGGAAATTCCAAGTCCAGCAAACATAATGAAATTTTTGCCATTGGCTTGAGTAGAGCCAAACTTGTCAAATTTCACTGACATTTGACAAGACTGTCCAGAACGACTTTGGGCCTCAGAGGATGGATCTCCACAGGCAGATCCAGAAACTTTTTAATCAATTTCTCCTGTACTTTGAAGGCTTCCTTCACATCCAGTGTGGGGAAGTTACACTTTGTTAAACCCAAGTAGATTTGCTGGAAATATTTTGTGTCCCTCACAGAGATGGTTTGAGTGTGGGCTGTGCTGCAGCACGAATCTCTGCCCTTATATCCCCACGAGCTCCTTCCAAAATCCAAGCTGAAATCCTGCTTGCTGTCTCTCTATGTCCTCCCAGAAGCTGGACTTTGACAGCAGCTGAATGCCCTGAGCTGAGCCAGAGGGCTTGGATAAGCCCAGGTCTATGAAGGCACCACATCCCCTGTGATACCATGGCTAACCCACACACCACACTGTGGATCCTTCATCCGCCTCCTCCCACTGCATCCCTACCCTGGCCCCACCCCGGGTTTTGGAATGCAGAATCTCACAAATTTATCCATAAAACACCCACGCAAAGGTGGAAACAACTGTTGTCCTAACTGCAGTGTAAGGATTAAGAAGAACTCGAAGCAAAGGTTGAGGAGGATCACCAACATACTGACCACAGCACAGCAATGACAACAAGTGTCCCTAAGCACAAGCTGGCACTCAAAGTACTGGAAAATGAGGTTTTTGGCTTGGGATATGAAGCATTTCTTCTCTTCTTTGCCTTGCCCAGGACATTCTGTAGCAGCTTGGGTGGGGCTGTTCACCACAGAATGGATTGGGTTTGAAGGGACCTTAAAGACCCCCCTGTTCCAGCCCCTGCCATGGGTGGGGACACCTCCCTCTATCCCAGGGTGCTCCAAGCCCTATCCAGCCTGGCCTTGGACACTTCCAAGGATGGGGCAGCCACGACTTCCCATTAATCACACAGTTCCGTTAAGAGTGAGTGTTTTAACTCAGTCTCATGGAAAACATATATGGAAAACCTTTCAAAATAAATCTGGATCTCCCTCTGACACAAAGCAGAAGGATCCCATTTCATCCAATTGTTGTTGCACTCAGGATAAACCCAATAATTTTAGGAAAAGAAGTAAGTTTATGTTTAGACATGAAATGGCTTCAACCTCTTCAACTACTGAGTCTCCTTCACATCTTTCTCTCCGATCACTACAGTGTTGTGTTTTTAATATTTTTATTTTTTCTGATACACAAGATCCCCTAAATGTTTTACTTATTCAGGATTTCCTGCATGTTTGCACCCATTTTTTACTGTGTTTTTTTTCACTTTCTCCCCACTTCTTTCCCATGTGCCGCCACCCACTCAGCTGAAAATGCTGCAATTAAAGACTTTGAGCCCTGTTAATTCTATTAGAGATCCAGCTATACAGGACATTACTTATTCTGCAAACAAAGTATGGATAAATTCAAGGACTATGAACTAAAGGATTAATTTAAACCTTAACTATTTCCAGTTTATCAACATTTTCCCCAAAAAAATTCTTTTTTGTATTGTATTTTCATATAACTAATTAAATTATATTTTCTGGCATTTTGACGTGTGATTATATATTGTTTTCTTTTATACTGGTTGGATATGATGGAATAACTTATTGGAAGTAGAAACACTGAAGGGAAATAGAATTCATAGAATGGAGGAATTGTATTTCTGTAGAGAGAGAAGGTTCTACTGCCATGTAGCAGCTCTGGAGAGAACAAAGGGTTTCCCAATAATTTCACCTGAAATGGATGTCTTTGAAAGCCATAACTTTTTATTCAGACCCTGAGTCATGATCCATAAGGATTCACTCAATAATAATATTTTGGCCTCTCCAGAAAATTATGTAATAAATGGCTTTTCTACACCATGGAAGGAGGTAAGAAAGACTGATCCATTGCTCTTAATAAGGTTTTCATCCACAAGTGTCTTATACCAAAAAAACTCCTCTCAACAAGAAGCCTGGCTCAGTGTGCAGTCAGTCTAATTTCACCCCCAAATTATGATTATAAAGATACCATAGTGCAGAAGCTGAAGATAGAGAATCTATTTTTGTGCCCAGGAAACTGAGCAGCTTGATCAGAATCTGCACCTTAACTCTTTCAGCCTGAAGAGAACTGGTTTGTGGTTTGTTTGAATTTTTTTCCAGATCAAGGTTTCTTACCTTGTCTTCCACTGCTGATCTGGCCAAAAACCTCATCTTCCTGATTAAGTAGTTTTTGTCCTCCAAAGGAGTATAAATTTTATCTGGTGCCACCAGGACACCTTGCAACCAAGAATTTTATGGTACAGAGAAGGTATAATAAAGTTCCTCATCTTCCAGCTCAGTAAAGCAAAGCACAGAGGAATTCCCTGAGCAACTGAAGAATATCAGCATTATTATTATTATCATCCATAAAGAGTAGTGTTCATAACAAGTCAGTGATTTAAAGGTGTCAGAAAACAATGCCATGGTGAAGACTTACTCAGTAAAACATTTTAATCTAAAAAACAAACAAGCAAAAAAAAACCCAAAAAACACAAACAAAACAAAACAAAACATAGGTTTAAGTAGAACACTATGGAAGCACTTACTCAAGCCACAATGAATAAATGTAAAAACAGGAATAAATTTAAAAAAAGGAAAATATTGGTGTACATACTAAGGTTCTTTGAATGAAACTAAAAGCATGGCTGGAAGAAATGGGAAATTTATATATATTTACATATATTGATATTCACCAGCAATACTCAAGACACTAAGACTACATCCATGCTAGAACATCATAGTGTCAGAAACCCTGTTCAGTTGTTAGGCTGAACCCTGACTGCTTTTGATCCCATAAGCACTCCCCAAAACAACTCCTGGAGAGAGTTTTGGAGTCAGGAGAAACGTTCTCAAAGGGCAGATTGGATGCACCCACCCCATTTTGGAAGCCAAGAGGGGTCAGCACCAAAGACCCTCGCAGTTGGCTGCAGGCTCATTTGCCCACATGGTCGCCCATCCCAATACCTGTAGGGTTTTCTCTGAGCACAGAGGCAAAAGGCTCAGCCCCACAGGGACCACAGTGCTTCACCCCCTCCCAGCACTGCCTCACCCCTCTGCTGCCACCATGGCAACACATTCTCTGACATCGTTCTGGGGTTGGGGCAGCCTGTCGGGCTTCTCTCCTTCCTGGCTGTACCCAGCTGAAGTTTGGGGCATTTCCTCCGGGCTGGAGCACCCCGGGACTGCTGGCTGCTGAAGCTCCTCAGAGTCACCAGGAACTCTTCCTCCACGGGGCTGCTGGTGACTGCCACTTTTCCTGGCTGAGGGAAAGGTGTGTCTGTCCCCTGTCTTGGGCTGGGCAGTGCTTGGCTTTCTTGCTGACTTGGCTTCACAGGGCTGCAGGTTCAGCTCCTCTGCACGTCCTGTGGCAGCTCCCACTGCTCCACTTCCTTCCATCTCTGTGAAAACAAGACTTGCTTTATTCTTGCAATAATTATAAGACCCCCACCTCCATGTACATTATCCTTTTATGCCTTTATTGTGTGTTAAAGGCATCAATAAATTTTTAATTTTTTCCCCCCCATTTTACATGGGTGGACAATGATAGGACAACAGGGAAGAGTTTTAAACTGAAAAGGAGAGATTTAAGTTAGAGATCAGGAAAAAATCCTTCCCTGTGAGGGTGGTGAGGCCCTGGCACAGGTTGTCCAGGGAAGCTGTGGCTGCTCCATCCCTGGAAGTGTTGGATGGGGCTTGAAACAACCTAGGATAGTGGAAGGTGTGCCTGCTCACAGTGGGAGGAAGTAGGTGAGTATTAAAGCCCCTTCCAACCCAAACCATTCTGTAATTCTATGATTAATTAAAAAGCAGTTACTGTTACAAAAATAGTTTCAGTGGCCATACATTTCAGTTTGACAGAAATAAATTGGCAAAGCCAAACAACCATTCGCTATTTCCACAAATAAGTAAAAAACAACAACCCAGCTGGTTTGTGCTTATTGACACTAACAGCTGCTAGAGCATCTCCAACATTTAGAAAATTTATAATAAATGTTTAATAATCAATTGTATAGAATACAGTTTCTTAGTAAGCTATGTATTGCTAAGACTGATAATATTTTAATAATACACACCCATAAAATGCATCATCCCTTTCTTTACAGGCTGTAACTTAAGGTAGAACTTTGTATTTCTGACATTTGAGTCCTACTCGAGGCAGAGCTTGTAACCTGCAATGATGTTTTTTTAAAAATGACATAGAAAAAAATGAAAGAAAAGGAAAATATACACTATACATTTTTCATGTGGAAATGTTTACATCCTTATCTATCAAATAGTTGCCAATAACAGAGGCACGGTCACTTGTAGTGACATAGTAGATAATTTCTGAGCTGACAGAGTGTGCCATGACTGGCAACCTAATTTGTAGCTTCATGTGGATGCTAAAAACATTTATAATTTTCCTGTAATCCTCTCCCTCCCCCCATTAAAAAAAAAAAAAAAAAAAAAAAAAAAAAAAAAAAAAAAGACATCAGCCTACACCCAAACCTTTAATACTCATTCCAAATCCAGAACTAGTCCTGGTCAATGTGTCACGTGTGAGTGGACAAAATCAGATTTTTTAGTCCATTTATCAGCACACATTTTAAGTCCTTAGCACAAATAACGCCAGAAAATATGTTATGACCAATTCTGATGTTTTAGGTTTGTCCTTTCAGTATAACCCTTAACAGCCTGTGACATTCAGCCTCATGGCTGTTCAGATTCATTTTCTTCTACATTTCCTGTAACTCATTAATTGAAACTATATTTGCTGAATCATAGAATATCTCAAACTGGAAGGGATCCATAAAGGGTCATTGAGTACCACCCCTGCTTCTCACAAAACCATCTAAAATTAAATCATATTTCAGAAAGGTTGCACAGACATTCCTTGACCAGCTTGAACTCTGACAGCCCTGGCTGTCAGAATGACTTCATGCTTGGGCTCTGTTAAAGGGTGTTGTTGTTTTTTTCAACTTGTACACTCATAAATTTAACTTTCAGGGTTGTACCTCTTGGAAATCCACCAGAAAGTTGTTTCCAAAATTTCAGCAGCCAGATATACTATTATGTTTTGCACTTTTCCTTCTTAAGCTGGCTTTAACTCTAGGTAGTTGGCTGATTTAAGGTACAAATTACATATATCACCAGGTTCAATTTTCCTCTTTAGACACATAAACAAGATAATAAGGTCATGATCTCTTATACCAAAGCTTCATGTTAGTTCTGGAGATTTATTGACTCTCTCATCTTCAAAGGTGCCATTATCAACAATGGAAAAAAAGGTTTTTCAAGCAAGTTTGAATCAGCTACAAGTTTTCTGGATAGAAGCAGTTTCAAGGATGAAGTACTGCCTTGAGATTCCTGATTTTTAAGCATTAAATACAAACTATTCAATATCATGAAAGCATACGATTAACTGGATTAAGTACCATCTAACAGAGCTCAGGCAGAAATTATATATGGGAAATAATTCTCAGGGATGTGTGGCAGTACCAGACTCTACCACTGAAATGGAAGACATTCAGTGTAGCCACTGGTGATTTGGAATTTAAACTGAAATTGATTCTGATGAAATTTTCTAAAACAAAGGGATAATGGAAAACTGTAGAAAGGAAGGAGGAGGAGCTGATCTGAGCAAGCTGGGACCCAGAAGGAGAGACCCAATTTACAGACATAACATTTTCAGGAACACACAGTGATTTCTAGCTGAAGACATCCAAGGAGTTCCAAGAATAAGAATCAGTCAGGTACCATTCTGAAAAGGTTCAGGGAAAGGACAGAAAATTGAAGCTAGAAATGTAAGTTGTAGGAGGATACAAGCACTCTGTTGAACCACCAGAATAAATTGCAAAAAGCAAAAAGAAACAATATGTTCCTGCACCTCCAGGTGTGTTCTGTTAACAGTGCCTTAGTGCATCAAAAGTTCTTCAATTCAAGAGAGAGATAATTACAAGAAGCTAAGGAGATTTTCCTTGTTAGACCAAGGTTGGGCAAGGCAATATCTTGATCCCTTCTCCCTACTGCACTGCATAACTGTGAATATTGTTTTCTTCTTCATCTTCATCCTCAGTTGCTCCTTTTGGAACAATATCCAGGGCCCTTGATCCATTGAACTTTGCACTCCAGAAACACCCACCAATGAGAAAATCTCTGTTTTGCAAGTCTTACTTGTGGTGATTAATAAATAAAGGCCCTGAACACTTAATTGTATTAGAAAAGCAGTATTTCTTATGAGGGGAAGAACTACAAAGCAGAAACTAAACAAAAAGAGTGCAGCTTTGATTTCTTCTCTCTCTCTCCAAAACCAACAGCACTTTAAATAGGGGGGAATCAAACATTAGACGTTTCCAAGTCATATGTATTAAATTCACTTAAGATATTGTTATCCTTGTTTAGATTTGAACATATTGGGGAATCTTTTTGTCTTGCAACTATTCCTAAAAGACTCTAAGTGGCTGGATTGCCTTTTTCTGACAAAAAAATCCTTCTCATGAATTATTTACACGACGGCTCCAATCAACGATGTACCTGTCAGCCTCCCCAGCCAAAATGAAAGTTCACTATGTAAAGGTGCCAAGGGAGAGTGGCAGCCTCCCACTGCGAGTTTATAGACAGAACTAAGTCAGCACGCATTATGTGTCAGAGCCGACATCAGACAGAATCAGATCCTTTGATCTCAGACCTCCACAGGAAGCTTAGATCTCAGACAAATTAGATAAAAAATGAATTTATAGCAGATATGTGTCCTAAGGCACACAGCTGAATGCCGTGTTTTGGAAGAGTATGGCAAATATCAAAACACATAAACTGCAGAATTTCCTCTCTCCTTCTCTCTCTCCCTCTGCTTTTGTGATAGACACTAATTAAAAGGAGGTAAAACTCCAGCTCGCCTCTTTCTGCCTCTTATGTAATCCAAGGCTTCAGTAAGGAGGAGGAAAAAGAAATTCCCAAAACAGAGTAAATGGGGGTTCATCAGGGTTACCCGAATGCCCTTAGATCTGTGCTGTTGGCAGGTGAGAGAAAAAAAATAAAAGCCCTCAACTACTGTAAGAACATTTCACACTTGCAGAAAGGGAAGCTGGTGCTTTGTGCTGCCAGCCACATGCCCCCGGGGCTGTCTGCTTTTCTGTGACCTCAGAAGGAGTCGGGTTTGATCAGGAGATGATGAAAGGACAAGTCTCGAGGAGGTGTGCAGGGAAAGGGTTGTTTGTGGCAGGACCCTGGGGAATAAAGTGGGATACAGGGTGGGGTGGGTGGGAGTGGAGCTGCTTTGGGCTGCTGGGTTTGGACTCACAGGACCGTGCAAATGAGCCCTGGGTGGGTTTCTTACCTCCAGTGTAACTCACAGTCCTTCACAGCCTGCAAACTGCCCAGAGCTTTTGGTCCCACTCCAGCACCCGGAGATGTGGGCAGGGAGGAACCCTGCTCCTCCAGGCATGTGGGGACACCAGGAGTATTGGTCCCTGCCCTACTCCAAAAACGCTGGGAGAAATGATGAGCTCACTGAATCATAGATATCCTGGATTGTGGGGAAGGAGCCCGAAAGGATCACTGAAATCCAGGCCCTGTCCCCGCACAGGACACCCCAAGGATCACAGCATGACCATAAGTGGGATTATGCTGCTGCCTTCAGTGTAGCTGTGAATTCACCCCACCTGTATTAAAGGAGATGAAATGATAAGTAGAAAAAAATCTGGGAGGAAAAGGAGTAGGCAATAGAGACAGACTTTTTGAGAACGCACCATTGATCCTATACAAACCTATAAAATCATAGAATCACTGAAGTTGGAAAAACCTCTTAGATCCTTGTGTCCAACCACCAAGGCAGCATCACTGTATTCATCATTAAACCTTTCCCCAGCTGCCACATCCCACACATTTTTTGAACTCTTGCAGTGATGTGACTCCATCACTTCCCAGAGAACATCTGAATGTGTTAAAAGACATAAACTGACTCAGTGTCCAATAATTTATGAATTGCAGTCTCACCTCCTGCTACAGACACTCCACTTTTGGTTGGTCCTTGATTGTAGCAAGGCTTGGTGGGAGCTGCAGGAGGCTGTGCTTGCTCACTGGGTCTCTTGGTGCTGTCCCGTGGGAGATGAGGCTGTTCAGTCCTCGTTTCTGCAATGAAACACACAGTCACATCACTCTCAGTGCATCCTCTGCTCAGCAGAAATTATTAATTCAAGCAAAAATTGAACATATTGTTGAATATATAGTAGAGTATTGCTTGGATACATATATATATATATGCCACCAAATGCTGTGTCCACACAACTTTGAACACTTCCAGGGATGGCGACTTCACCACTGTCCTGGGCAGCCTGCTCCAGTGCTTAAAAAACCTTTCCTAGAATAAATTTTTTGTAATATCTGTCTGGACTCAGACACCTTTTATAGGCATAAATCTGTATAACCTTGAACTATCAGAGAATCATGGAATATTCTGAGTTGGAAGGGAACCACATTGATTATTGAAGCCCAGCTCTTGTCTCTGCATAAACTACAAACTCCTTATTAATGAACGTGGCCACTCTGGGGATTTGTTAAATGAAACGAGGAGTCTGCAAGTATAAATTCTTGTGGATATTTCCAACTTACTGTTGCTTTTGCTCTTCCTGAACCAGCAGAAGGAAAGAACGATGATGAATGCAGATGCTGCTGAGCCCAGTATGACAACGAGGATCATGCTGGCCCTGGCTTTCAAGGGCACAGGGAAGGTGGCAAATGGCTGGGACAGCACAGTGAACTTTACCCCTGAGAATTTAAAGCAGTCAGTTTGTTACAAAAGCAAGGACAGCAATTTCACAGCTAAAGCACCACCCTATAACTTTTTAACAGGGATGCCACTGGTAAAGATGCATTCAGGGACAAACCATAAATCCATCTCCAGACAGATCCAACATTAATGGAAAATATTTATTTAGGACTGAGTACCAAGACAACCCATACATGTAATAATTTTTCTACAAGCTAAGTTTCAAGCTTTCAGTGCTTTCTGAAGCATAAACAGCTTCTTTGCATTCAACAGTACTTAATATTTCTTCTATGAATTTGTCTAACTGACACAAACCTCAGAGAATACATTCACAATGCATCTGCTTTTGAGGCCAGACAGATCAGGCCCCTACAGAAAACATGCACATTTTCTGCCACAGAATCTGGTTGTGACAAGACAGTTCTTAATACTTTTTTTTTTTTTTTCCCCACAGGCTGTACCTGAATCATATCAATAGAAGTTAGGGGGAACGCAGAAATATTCACCAGCATGAAGATTAAATCCATGATGCAGAGAACTCCCAGTGAACTTGTTAATAATTTCCACCATGTTGATAATGAGCATTGTAAATAAAAAATGTCAGTGTCCCTGCTGTTACACAGTAAATATTTAGTCTCTTGAAAGACAGAAGCTCTGGGTAGTGCTCTGCACCCAGAGGTTCTAAAGTTTTCTCTAAATGGCAGAATCAAGCCAGGCATTGCTCATAGTCTCTGTGTTCAAGAGTTCATTGGGTCTCAGATCTGAGTTGCAAGGACTGGAAGAGGACCAGTACTGCCCTTTTGAAATAGAAAGAGGTTTTGATTCCCTAAATTATTTACAAAACAAGTTCTGAGTGCAGATGTGCTTGGCAAGGACAGGAGTTTAGGAAAACTGGCCCTGGTACTCTCTGTAGACCACGTTGAAGGATGTGGATTAGCACATGAACTCATTAAGTGTCTTACTACCTGACTCATTATTGGTCCTAACCCCACAATTCTAAACATTTTGATGGATGGATATTTCTTTTATTTGACTTCCACTTTTAATAAAAATCTAAAAGCCTGTTTTTTCATCAGTTCATTAAAAAAATCAGAAATGCTGTCAGATGGAGGCTTGGAGACCAGGGCAAGTAGCTGTAGGTACTTTTAGCAGAAACTAATTAGATTTGTGTCAGTGTTGTCCACCTGAACAAAGCTGGGCTGCATCAGAACAAGGTGGGAAGCATGTTCCAGTTGGGAGAAATCTGCCTGCAGGTACAAACACATATGAACTTCAGCTGAGAGAAGAAATCTCTCAGGTATCAAGAACTCTACACAGACAGGTGTTTAAAGGTGTTTTGCACTACTCTAATAGTTTGTGAGTAGGATGCTGCTGGTTTAAATGGAAAGTGGATGTATCAAACCCATTGGGATCCATATCAGTGAAGGGAATATTACTGTAAAACAAGGAGCAGGATGATGCAGTAGGGCTATGAATAGTCTGCTCTCCCCAGGAGCTACCACTAAAACATTTGGGATTATTGCATTTGACATCAGCTGCACCTCCTGAGCTGTCTCCAAACAGTGAATTATGCCAGGCTAGGTGTATAGAGCAACTGGTTCATGAAGATGTATCACAAACATCTACTATTTGATTGTTTAATTCCTTAAAGTAAACCTCTTCAGTGCGAATCTGGAAGTGTAAAAACCTTTATGCTGCCTCCAGCACGGCTCCCAATTACAAGGAGCAAAAGGCATTGTGCTTTTGGTGTGTACTTTTGCAATGCACTTTAAAAGTGTGGAATAATCTGATTTACACAGGTGATACCTACGCAGGTGCATCAGCTGCCTGTACACATTGGTACCTCTAAGCATGCTCCATGGGGGAGAATGGGTTTAAGCTGGAAGAGGGCAGATTTAAATTAGGTATTGAGCACTGGCACAAGTTGCCCAGGAAACCTGTGGTTGGCCCATCCCTGAAAGTGTTGAAGGTCAGCCTGGATGGAGCTCTGAGCATCCTGGTCTACTGAAAAGTGTCTCTTCCCAACACAGGGGAGTTAAAACTCAATGATCTTGAAGATCCCTTCCAATCCAAACCATTCTGTGTTTCTCTTATTAATCCTTAGTAATTCTCTGACTGGCTAAATATTTTAGAAAAGGCATCTCTGTTCGACCTTTGTTCAGAAAAAAGATTTTGGGATTTCCCTGAAACAGGTTTCTAAACACATTGCATTAAGTTGTGCTTCCATCCTAAAGAATCAGATCTTGTGAGGTGCTGACTTTCCATCTGCTCTCACTGATGAGAAGGTAATGGGAGCTGCATGTGTTTAGCAGCTCAAAATACACAAAAACCCTCCCCCCTTGGAAGGCCCACCTCTAAGTGTTTCATGCACCCCAATTCTTCCTTTGCCAAGCCATAGGAAGCACTGGATTTGGATGAGCCATTTGTGGTAGCCTAAATGTTTACAAACTTCTATTTTTTTTTTTCTCAGATTTTTTTATTACCCACTTCCACTTGGCCACTTCACCAGTTAGATATACTTGTTCCCTCTGTTTTTTTTCTGGATGAGGCAAGACATGAGAGATAGATGATAGATAGATAGATAGATAGATAGATAGATAGATAGATAATATATCTATATCATCTACAGTGGTATTTATCTGGAGAAATATCCATGCATATATATCTATATAAAGAGAGATGGATGGATGGATGGATGGATGGATGGATAAATGGATTAATAAATGGATGGACAGGTGGATGGATGCAATATCACAGAGATTTTACATACAGTCTTACAACATCTATATCGTAGTGTGTCCCTGGACTGCATGCCAGACCTGTTCCTGCTTCTCCATATTCTTGCCTCAGCAGCCATCCTGAGACAAGAAACCAACACTTTGACCCCTCTATACCTTCAGAAACAGATTTAGAGATAATTTCAGGCCCCAAAACAGTTGCAGAGGTGCTTCTCTTGTGGAGACATCTTAAGGATTTTCCAAGGCAGACTTCACAGGGTTCCTTGTCTCCAGTGTCCCCCTCAACTGGCATTTCCAAGAAGGCATAAGCACACCTGCCTCCTCTTTACTGAGATGCTCAGGGGCCTCTGAATGTGCCAACATCATCTGCAGAAGCTCTTAGGAAAGCCCTGGCAGAGCCCAGTCCTGGAGTCATGCTCTGAATGTGCATAACCACCTATAAAAGTGACCAGGTGCAAGCAAACAGTCAGGGAAAGGCACTATGAAAATAGCCAGGAGCACAGATGGAAAATTTGTGAACATAAACAGGGGAAAAAAGAGGGAATGAGGGGCTGCAATTTATAGGAAAAAGTTTGCTCAGTCAACTTAACTGATTTTAAGTTTCTAATTTCTTGGGATACTTACTAGGGAATCCAGGGAGAAAGAGGCACCTTTTTCTGACAATACTTCTCTGTACTTATTCATCAGATTTGAGAGATCTTGCATGAATAGCAGAGGAATCACCCAGCTCTCCTGCTGCCTGGGGAATGCCAGCTTGGATGTGGAACAGAACTCAGGCTATTTGAAGGTTTGGCATAGCTCCACCCATTCAAACAAAGTTTAACTCCTTTTTTATAAATTCAGGCCACCTGTAGGGTTTTGATTTTACCAAATCAAAGGATACACAGAATACAGGGTTTACCTGGAGGTGATGTGACTGTGAACACAAGTCTCCAGTCTGTTCCTGAGCTGGAGACAGCCAGATTGGAAAAGGTTGCACATCCGTCTATGACCTGCACTTGGGTGAGCCCTGGAGAGTCAGAAAAAATCATATTGCAATTAACAGCAACCAGGTAAGGGCCACTTAAGCACCTCAGGGTGTCCTCATGACTTTAAGGGACTTCAGAAAGCCTAAATTAATTATCCATCTTAATTATAAGCATTGTGTCTAACCCCAGAAAATTTCACACAGAGATACTCAGAAAACAAATTCCAGAGGGACTGGAGGGCTTCAGCTTCTAAATATTTATTCTTTGAGCTCATTGTGAAATGGCATTTTCTGTGTGTTATAGGGGTGTAATGTGAATGCAGCAGTTAAAGGGATCAAACAAAGGTAACAGGAATTATAAAGATGCACTAGAAAGTTCCAAACGCCCACTTTTAAATTTATCTCATGTCTTGTGTGACTAAGTACTTCACCAAGGTTAGGAGAGTGATAATGAGGATGTCCCAAGGGAATGGTCTCAAGGAGTCAACCCCTGTAACTAAGGGACAAGCTGAATCTTCAATTCTTTTCTGATTTGTTTCACCTTATCTTTCAGGCATTTTCCCTCCTGTCATATTGTTAAATCTCTTGGAATTTTTCTCCAACTCTGTCAGATGCTTTGTAAGGTATTTGGCCATGGAAAATGTCTGTGGTGACTGCCCTGAGACAGTACAGGAGACACTGTCAGCTGGAAATCTGGCAGGGAAAAACTCCAAGGGGAACATTAAAATGAAACCCAGGAAAGAGAATTTCTCCATCACATTACCTCTTGTTGTGATCTATCAGGGAATCCATTCTGACTCAACATTTGCCCTTGCCATGATTGTTATTTCTGTAGGCTCTTTTAAAAAGTTATAATTTACTTTGCAACTGGATCCCCATTTTATTGTGTGTATCTTTGAGCACCAGCCAAGGCCTGGCCTTTGAGTGATGCTGGCCAGGTCTGATCTGCATTCAGACTGCTGGGGTGAAAGGGGTGAAATCCTAAAGGCTGACAAATTTCCAAATGTTGGTTCAGGTGGGGGTGAGATGCCAGAACTTCCTCAGGATGCTGGACTGGCTCCAGTGATCACAAACACAGACTTTTGCCTGCTGAAGGACATGTCATAACTATTTGCTTTATGAAGCAGGTGGCTTGGCATTTTATTGCAGTTAAGCAGCACAGGTGAAGGTACATAAAGCTGAATGTGGGCAGGACATTTCTACTCTGCCATTCTCATGTTCAGGATATTGAGCAATGTGGTGAATTAGCAAATGCTGAACTACAGCCAGAAATTGCCCAAGACAAGGTCCTAGGCAAAACCATGACACATATTAATTATTTAGCAACATAAATTATAAAGTTTCTCCTCTCTGTGACTCTGGTACAATTTAATTTGTTAATATCCCAGTTAGTTTTGACTACATATATGGGATTTTTTTCTATTTCTGTACAATATCTAGCACACCAAACCACCAATTTCATTACAAGTCTCCAGGATCAGCTGTGATATATAAATAATCAGTGATTTATACTGTGAATAGATTTGATGGAGATATGGGAATGTAAGTTTCTTTTATTGTTCCAGCTTAATCCTGGTTCATCCATCTACCACTCATATGATCCTCCTTATGACAGTGTCTGCACAGTCTACCAAGATTTTCTTGGCTCTCATACTCTCTGTAATGCAGATTTTAACAGAGGGCCTTGTCCAAATAGTTTATAATTGCCATTTCTAGTGTGTGATGAAGCCTGGAGTACTGTACTGTACCTCTCAACAGGCGCGAGCTCAGCTTTCAGGCACATATGCTCCAAAGCTCAGGATGCTACAGATATATATGGGAGTCTTCCCAAAGATCTCTCAGGCAAGCTGGTATTTAACGCAGAAGCACAGCTAATTTGGAGCTAAACTGCCTTCCACGAGGCACTTTGGCTGCTGTCAGATGAAGCAGCCTCAGTGTGCTAGACGGGACCCATTTCCATTAAATGCTGCTTTCACGTGCTTCAAAAGACGAGTGCAATAAGGATGTTTGTCAAAGGGAAAACTGCAGCAAACTATTACAGGCAGAACATCTGTACTGTGCTGCTCTTCCTTTGCTGGAGTTTATTGACTATTAATTTGATGCATGTATCTTTTAGAGAATGTGAAGTGTCTTTCCCTTCAGTGTCTTTCTTTTTCTCTTTTCCTCTTTTTTTTTCTCTTTTTCTCTTTTTCTCTCCTCTTTTTCTCTTTCAGGAATTGGTACATGTTAAGAGAGGATTTTTCTCCCTCCCTCCCTTCCTCCCTTCCTTCCTCCCACTGTAAGTCAGTACCTGATCCAATAATCTTTGGTTAATCTAAACCTAAGGAGTTTAGGAACATGCCCTGAAAAGGCATGAAAAGCAGCAGAAAACACCAAAGGATTTTTCTAACCTGTAATCCTAGAACTATCGTGTGGTAGGAAGAATTTCTAATTAACAGAAACAGGGACTGAAAGGGTGAGAAGCTGTGATCTCTAGCATGAATGCTACTTATCTTCTCTAAATGTGAACTTTTCAACTCAAAAATAACACACAAATGGCTTTACTGAGAACAAAATACTTTCTCTGCAACAGGGAACCTGAATTTTCATTTTGTGTGCTTCTTACTTATATTTAAATATTTTAGAAATTAAACTAATATGTTTATAATCATTATAATTTCCAACTTCTAATTTAGCAGTGAAAGACCATCCACAGGTGTTTGGTTCAGCAGTCTACTTAAACAAGGTTCTATATCTAAGCATATTCACACAACCTTGAGGGAAATCCTCACATGTTTAGAGTTTTTCACAAGTTTTCCTGAGTCTTCCATGAGTTCATGTGTTTAGATAAATGAGGACCAGAAGGGAAACATTTAGATCCCCCATGAAAAAAAAAAAATAAAATCAGATTATAATTTGTTAATTATAATCTATGGGCATTTGTTTCTCTCTAAACTTGGCCAGATCCTTTGGGATAAAAAAGGTGTTGTGGACCCTAAAGAAAATACCTCAGTTAACATAAATTGAAAATCAAGTGTTAGGATTTCTAATTCTTCATTCTTTCCTTTTTTGACCCCAGATACATCTTTTCAAGACAAACTATTGGATATACTTCCTTTAAGCTACCAGCCCACAAAAAGACTTCATGAAAGCTTTTTTTTTTCCCCTGTAGCATATGACTGGGCAGTTCACCAAACTCCTACTGCAACCTTCTGTTTTCAGCCCAAAGACTGGTTTTCAACAGCAGTATTTCTCAGGGAGAACTCCTAAAGTTATCACCAGCATTTTTCATAGCTGCTTTGCCATAACCCTTGCTATGGTAAAACACATCCAAACCTTTCAGCACAGCCTCAGAGGAGTCCTTGAGATGAGCTGATACAACCCAGGGCTCTGCAGGAGGACCGAGTTTGTCAATTCTTTCACCCTGGCAGGAAGAACGGAAGAGAAGAATTACAATCTTGTCTCCTCAGCAAGACGAAAGAAAGCTTTGATGATTTTAACAACTGTAATATTTTTTATATATATATATATGTCCCCTGTCTGAGGGCAGTTTGCATTTATGGGTCACATGCTACAAATGTCACAAAGGTCACCATAACTTTTCAAGGTGGGGCCACATCACAGAATGGATCAGGTTGGAAGGGACCACAGTGGCTCATCTGGTCCAACCTCCCTGCTCAAGCAGGGTCATCCCAAAGCACCAGGCACAGGATTGTGTCCAGACAGTTCTGGAATATCCCCAGCCAGGGAGATTCCACTGCCTCTCTGGACAATCTGTTCAGGGCTCAAGCACTGCAGAGGAAAAAAGTTCTTCCTCCTGTCCAGGTGGAACTTGCTGGGATCAGTTCCTGCCCATTCCTCTGGTGCCATTGCTGAGCCCCATGGAGCAAAACCCGGCTCCATGCCAAAAATCTCAAATGTCAAAAATCAAAAATGTCATAATAGTACTGAACTAAATAAAATCTCCATACACAGGGAGGCAAATTCTACCTTTCTGTCCAGGAAAATGATTTTTGGCTGTACAGGAAGCTGCTTCTCGATTTCTCCATCTGAAGGCTGCACCTGAACAGAGATGCTGTAGGGTCTCCTGTATAAGCATGTTTCTGAATGTTGTCTGCTTCCATTTCTTTCACATGAAAAGGGATGGGAAAGAAAAAGAAAATAATTAAAAAAAAGGAAAATTTGAAATAAGGTTTTCGCTGATAATTACTGTTCCTATTTTCTACCTATTTTCTACCTACCTACTATGATATTTACAATATCATAACCCTTTGATTCCTTGGGTGAGATCAGCATGCATGGAAATAGGAAAGAGTTCTCACTTCCAAGCAGAAAGCAGCATCAAAGTATGAAAAAATCCTTTTGTTTCAATCCCCAGTTTACAGATGGAAAAGTGAGAAATTAACAAAGTAATTTATGTCCCTGGTATCATGTTGGAAGTATGTGGCAGAGACAGGGATTTTATGGATTCATGAACCCAATGCCTTAGCCCCAAATTCCTCATTGAAGTGCACTGAGAGCAGTGGAGCCTGCAAATGTCCCCTGTCCAGGAGAAAGATTTCCACTGAAAACCTTTGAACTCTTCTAAGAAACAAGTCTTGGTTCCTCTACACAAACACACCAATTACAGGGCTTTACTGCATTTCCTTTTCCTGCCATCACCTTCCCAATCTGCAAAGTCTGCAGACTGAAATAAAGCAGTTACAGACACCCCCTTGAAAGACATTGGTTTTTCCAAGCCTGAAATTTAAATTAGAACATCCCAGGAGAGAGCTTTTGCATTTGAATAAAGAATCAACACTTCATTCTGAGCCTGGATCATTTCATTCCCTCTCCCAGTGCTTTGTGCCATTTAGTATCTCATATATATATATATATATAATTTTTATATATACATAAAAAGCTCTAATCTGCAATTGCAACGAAGTGGCTGGGGGTTTGGTATTGTCTTGAAATGAAAGAAGAAAAGCTATTCATTGATCTCTAGTGTTTGCTTAAAGGTGTTTACAAACACAAGATATACAGAGCTTAAGTTTCCTTTGCTTTTAACTCTTTTTTTTCTAGTTTGGATGGTCGTGGATGTTTTTTCAGAGTATTACTCTGAAATTATTATTAGAAATGAGAAACTGCTCATACTGAGCTGATGGAAAATACTGGTGTGAACTACAGCTGCTGGAAAGATCAACTAATGTTTTAAGGATATGTGCAGACTAGAAAGGTGGCTCTTGGATTGAAGTTTTAGTTCTTATCTTGGCTCTTTATCTTGTATTTTTGTTGGTGGGAAAGTCTCAAAGGCAATGTTAGGTTTGAAATTCATGTCAGGGGCATCAATAAGGTGCTGTTATCCACCTTCTTCCAAAAATGTGCATTCAGCTGTGTGACCAAACACCAAGTCATATACAACACACCAAATCATTCCTGTTTTCAAGCTAAAGAGCTGCACTTTTCTGTGAGCTCCCTGGCTCCAGCTGAGCACAGAGAGGTTCAGGTGAGTCTTAGCATAGTTTCTGTAAAACCCAATTTTCTTTTTCTCTCCTCAGCTTCTTTAACAAATAAGAAAAATGCCCTGAATTCACACCTCAGTCTCTACATGCTAAAAGTGTGCGTAGAGGAAGGCTGCTGCAAAATGTGGATCTAAGTGCTTCTCACTCCCTAAGGTGAGAAGAGTCATAAAATCATAGAATCATAGAGTCATAGAATCATAGAAAATTTGGATTGGAAGGGACCTTAAAGATTATCCAGTTTCATTCCCTGCCATGGGCAGGGACACCTGCTACTATCCCAGGTTTCCCCAAGCCCTGTCCAGTCTGACCTGGGACACTTCCAGGGATGGGGCAATCACAGCTTCTCTGAGCAATGTGTACAACCCTCACAGTAAAAATATTCTTCTTATAATCTAATTTATATCTCTCCTCTTTTAATTTAGAGACATTAATCCTTGTTCTTTCACTCTCTGGTAAAATAACAGTGAAGAAAACAGAACGAAGCAAAACTAGACATTGATACTTAAAATGGAAGTGTAAAAGTGAATGTCTGTTTGTGGGTAATTTAAAATTGGTCAACACAGCATGGAATGTGGTGTTTTATCCCACATGGTCCAACCCCTGCCTTAGGGCACAACCCTGCACACAGCAAGTTATATTCCTTAAAATTATGTCAGTGTGGAGGAGGAGAAAGGAGCATCCTTCTGCTCCCCTGCTGATTTGTGCTGGAAGGAAAATAGGCCTTTCCTGGCACAGCTTTGCCCTAGGGAGGTAGAGGTAGATGAGTGCTTGTAGCCCAGCAAGGACCAGAGCAAGACCTGCCTTTGCAGGATGAAGGATGTGCTGTTTGCCACTGGAGTCTCCTGCTGGGCAGGAGCAGGCTGGTTGGCAATTCCCTGCTGACAGGGAGCAGCTCTGATGCTCAGTGCCCTGCAGCTCTTCTAGATGTGGGCACAGCAAGCTGGGGATGCCGCAGTCAGCAGGGACACCAGGCATCCCTGATCCTGTCACCATCAGTGCCTACATGTGTCTGCTGAACAGGCTAAGGCTCCACAGGAGATCAAGTGCTTGTCCTTTAGCAGCAGGGAAGTCTGAGGGCAGAAACTGGAGGGTCTGCTGCAGGTATTGTGGATTAACCGAGAAACTTGGTTGAGAGATTTGGGGCAGAGAAAATGAAGTATCCCCAAAATCAAGGAGAACTTGTCATTTTATTTACAATTGTAATAACAACTGTAATAATAAAATAGAAGATCATAGAATGATTTGTGTTGGAAAGGACCTTGAGGATAATCTTGTTCCAACCCCCTGCCATAGGCAGAGACACCTTCCATCATCCCAAGTTACTTCAAGCTTGGTCCAGCCTGACCTTGAACTCTTGAACCTGACCTTGAATACTTCCAGGGATGGGGCAGCCACAGCTTCTCTGGGCAATCTGTGCCAGGGCCTCATCACCCTCACAGGGAGGAATTTATTCCTGATATAATCTAATGCAATATAGTAATATCATTATTCATCTAGTTATATCATGTTATCATAAGAATGTCTACAACAATAATAATAGTGGGAAGAAGAAGAAGAAGAAGAAGAAGAAGAAGAAGAAGAAGAAGAAGAAGAAGAAGAAGAAGAAGAGGAAGAAGAAAAATGATTAAGAAGAAGAAGAAGAAGAAGAAGAAGAAGAAGAAGAAGAAAACAAGAAGAAGAAGAAGAAGAAGAAGAAAAATAATTAGAAGAAGAAGAAGAAAAAGAAGAAGAAGAAGAGGAAGAAGAAGTATTATTATCAATTGACTTCAAGGCGAAGATCAGGATGAGAGCCTGGATCAAGGGTCCATTAAAGTCAATGTGTCTACTAGAAAACTAAATGATACCAAAAACAAGCCTTGGCACTGACACCTGATCACCTCTACAATTAAACTGTCAGTCTCTCTTAAGCTATGGTTTAGGTCCAATGGCAAATTCCAGAACAACTCCCAAATGGTCTGGGAGCTAATACAGTCAGAAAATATTTTCACTTGGAAGTTTGGATAAGGCCATGCTGAAATATGTCAGCTGGCCTTGGTGCCAAAGAACAGCCCCTGGCATATTTAATTTCCTAATAGACATTGAAATTAATTGAACAGTTGTCTGGTATGTCTGCAATGTGCTGTAAAATCAATGTATCCTTGCAAGGGGAAGGAAATTGGGAAGAATTTAGGGAATAATATGACTAAATGAATTATGATCCAGCTGAAGAGACATTTCTATTTGTTCATGAAAAGGTGGGGATTGCTGGTAACTGTAAGGGATTCAAGAAAGAGACGTTTAGCAAGGACAGGGCATAGGCAAGCTGAGGACTTATGGCAGGCAAAATAGATGCATATTCACTGGAAACTTTGTGAGGAACTCAGAGTTTTTGGGTGAGAATGGGTTCTGATGTCATGGGATGATGAAATAAGCCAGACCTTTGCCCTCTCAGGCGCACTGTTGGAGCTTTGTCACCCCCTGCAGATCTTGTCACTAATTATTACAGATGGGGAAGACTGACATGAGCATGAGAAGACAATGAGGAGTCTGAGGTCATTCCTCCTTTAAGCAAAAAAGGTATTTGAAGGATGACTTATTTCCACCAATTCCCATATTTTCCCATATTATAGAAAGAAATCAAAGAGATTCATGGAGCCCAGCTCCTTGCTCAGCACAGGACAGACCCAACAAACCAATCCTGTGTCTGAGAGCATTGTCCAAGCACTTCTTGAACTCTGCCAGGTCTGGTGCTGTGACCACTGCCCTGGGGAGCCTGTTCAGTGCCCAGACACCCTCTGGGTGAAGAAACTTTTCCTGACATCCAACCTAGACATCCCATGGCACATTTTCATGTCATTCCCTCAGGTCCTGTCACTGGTCACCACAGAGCAGAGATCAGTGCAGGCCCCCTTCTTCCCCTCATGAGGAAGTTGTAACTGCAATGCTGTCTCCCCTCAGTCTCATCTTTTCCAGGCTGAGCAAACCAAGTGACCTCAGCCTCTCCTCCTGTGACTTCCCCCTAGGCCCTTCTTTCAATAGAACAACAAAGATGATGAAGGCTCTAGAAGTGGGATCACCAGAAGCCTTTAGAAGAAGAGGGACAGAGCAGATGCATCTGATAGGAGAGAAACATCCTCCAGATTCATTAGTGACTTCCATTAATAGCTATAGATCAGTGGAAATGCCCCTATTTACGAAGCCAGTGGCAAGGAGCTAAGCCAGGCCTCCTCTGTAACACAGTCCCCAAGTTTACTGTCAGAGAAATGTCTTTTATTAAAAGTAAACAGCATCCCGCCGGAGGTCAGAGCTTTGCCGGGCTGCGTATCCCAAGGTAATACCACTTTAAGCTCCACATAAACTCTTAAACAGTTTCTATCCTAAAACCAGACCGTAGGTGGTACAGTTTTTTACGATATGTTATAATAGTGCAATAAATCTGTTAGCTTAAAATCGAATCTCCGTGGCCTTTTAGAGAAATCATCATTAAATGCAAGGCCCTGTTAATGATGCCATCCCAGTGAAATTGTTTAATCTGCTAGGGGGGTGGAAGGTCACCAAATGAATTTTTTATAATACATCAACTTGACACACAATAGGGAAAACTGTAATAGATAAAAGCAAAGGAAAAGGGCAC